AGGCAGGCAGATCAAAGTTCTAGCCCGGCCTGGACAACCTAGCAACTTAGTGAGAAAGAAAGAAATAGAATAAGAGCTGGAGAATAGCTCAGTGTGAAGACCCGGGGTTCAATCCCCAACAGTGCAATGGGGCGGGGCTCCTGACTGCTAGGGAAAATCCCTTTCCTAATCTATTTCTTCAAAGACGGCCTTTGGGAGGATGAACTGGGTAAAAACAAAACAATTATAATAACTAAAATAATAGCTATGTACTCAGCACCTAAATGATGAGCCTCAAAGTTTGAGGTTCAAAGAGTCAAGGGACCCACAGGGGCCAAGAATCACCTAGCTTAGCACTTCCCAAACTCCGGTGCGTGCACGGTCACCTGGTGATACTGGTAAAGCAGGTCTGAGGAAGGGGTCAAGATTCCGTGTCTCAAGCTGGCAGATGAGGCTGACGTGCTGGACTAAGGACCACACTTAGCGTAGCAGGGGTGTAGCCATCCCCTCTGCCACTGGAAAAAACAGATAGGAAATAGAGGAGGGAAGAGAGAGAGAAGACCCCAGACAGCGTCCCCTCCACTAATCCTTCTGACAGCTGGCGCCTCCACCCTACACTGACAATTGTCCCTACTCCACCTCTCCTTAGCGTGGCTGACAGTGGGGATCTCCACGGTGTCACGGCAGGATCCGAGCAGCCTCTTGTACACCTTGGCCTCCCTGTACAACGCCTCCTCCACGGCCGAGCAGAAGCGCCTCACCGTGCTGGTCCACCTGGCAGATTCCGACCTCGCCTGGCTCAAAGACACCACTGCCCGTATTTCAAGCCTCTTCAGCTCGCAGATCCTGGCCGGGCAGTTGCTGCTGATCCATGCTCCTCCTGCTGCCTACCCCACTGTGAATGGCAGCCCTGGTGCCGGTGCCGTTGCTGAGGCCGACCACGGGAAAGGCTACTCTAAGCAGAACGTAGACCACGCCTTCCTGATGAGCTTCGCCGCAAAGCTCTCTGATTACTTCCTGTTAATAGGGGACACTGTCTTTTGTGCCCCCAATTTTGTCACCCACATTTATTCCAAGGTGACCGCCCTGAAGCCCAGCCCGTGGGTGCTGCTGGAGTTCTCGAACGTGGGCCTCATTGGCAAGCTCTTCCATAGCAGGGACCTCCCTGCCCTGGCCCACTTCCTCCTCCTCTTCCACAAGGAGAAGCCCCTGGACAAGCTGATCCTTCATTTCCGCACCCTCCTGGTCCAGGAAAACCCGATCCTCTGCAGACCATTCCTCTTCTACCACAGATCATCCCGCCCCACCTTCGATGGCAAGGAGGACACAGTCGTTCAGAAAAAGAACCCTTACGGCCCTAGCAACCCCCCTGCGTCTGTCTTCACCGATATGAACCTTTCTGGGGCTCACTTCCCCTGGGAGGCCTACGCTCTGGACGAGTCGTTCTTCTGGACAAACGACATCCGCCCGGGGAACCACTTGACGGTGGTTTTGAACCACCCAGCGAGGCTGAGCAGAGTGCAGGTGATGACCGGCTCCATCGTGGAAGGAAAGTTCGCCCTGAGCAAGGGGCAGGTGCAACTGGGCTACGACCCCCAGGGCATGCCGCAGGACTGCGCCAGCTCTGAGCTGCTCGGCTGGCTGGTGGAGGGGCAGATGGACCGGGAGATCCCGCAGGAAAGCGCGTCATACCCGGTGAGCTGCGTGAGGCTGGTGGTGAAAGCCCGTCAAGCTGGTGGTCTCATGATCAGGCATATCTACCTCTGGGAGAAAGATGCCACGGAGGAAAAGAAGGATCAGGGTCGATGGTGAAATCAGTAAGAGTACAACAAATAAAACCGGGAGCTGTTTCATTCTAGCCCGGATGAG